CCAATGATCCAAATTGTAACAGTTTGTTTTTTTCTTTCAGTAGATTTTTATTTAATATATCTATCGATGATCAATCGTTTTATAACGTTTATATAACGGATGCCCAAAAAAAAAATAGGTATTTGGTGGATTGACTCGTCATTGTAAACATAACCTATATCGCGTGACTCAAGTCCGTCTTGTTCGGCGGATGTAATAAAGACGCATACATATTAAAAATAACTGGATCACATTGATGCAATTCTTTTCTTGATATCAAAAGTTCGTGCAAGTATGAAAAGTTAGCTATTGTGAAACTGTTATCGTAACATTGTCTTAATTTTTTTATTTACTCCATATGTTTTGTTTTTTCTTATTATTTTCCTGTTTTTCTAGAACAGTTTCTTAAATAAAATACGAACGAAAGAAACTTTGCAACGATTTCCGGTACAAAACATTTCTTTAACTACGCACGAACTCATGAAAAAATTTCAAAAGGACATCGACATTATTATTCATAATTCGATTGATCGATTACGTTGTTTATAAATGTGCGTCGTTTTTTTTTTTTTCAGATGTTCGTTACTTCTATACAAATTCGAAATAAAATTTTCTTGTACAGACGCTATGCGTATCATTATATTTATGTATATCCTGCAAGTTTTTTTTACGGCACGAATGCAACAGTATCAACCAAAAACCGTTTGTCGCTGATAATATATCATGTAAGTAGTTATAACGTGCTATCTACTACTGGTGGCGATAGATAATTCAACATATAAATTGTCTAAAAATCAAACCAACCATACAATCTAGCAGCTTTATATACCGATGATTACTGTCAATACGTGTGGCATAAATATTTGTATATTTATCGCTAACTCGTGAGTACGGGGCGGCCTGATTTAATAACTGTAAACATTATCGAAAAAAAGGATCGATTCTAAAAGACGAACGATATAAATTACATTCGCAATTATTAAAATTGATCGTATGTATATGTTTGCAAAAAATAGGGTTACAGCCAGTATAAGACGCATCACATTTTATGAGAAATTAAATGTTTCTAAAGCGTCATTTCTTATACATATTCGTTATCAAGCGTTATATGACTTTGCAATTTGTGTCATATTTTAATAAATACACTTTTAAACTTGGTCTTTCTATGTATAGCTAGACAACAAAAGTTATAATCGCGTTCTTACATAGTTTGACCTCGTTTGCGATCGTTTCAGGCGCCCCACTCTCAAAATTTCGACTCGACGAAAAAATAACTATATCCCTTAAGCGCTTCTTGTGTAGGCCTGAAATCGATATTTTTCTCTTCCTTCTTTTTCTTGTTACTTACAATTAGGCGAATGAAATACAACGACCATGGATTAAGTACAGACGACAGTTAATTTGATGCGTACACACACTAGCATACAGACAAATACTTTTCCTTTTTGCACCATTTGGTTACATTCTTTTATTTTATCCTATTTTTTATTCATTTTGCCTCCTTTGTCTGTCCTGCTTCGACGAGGACGAACACAGGCCGGACGTTATATCATTTAGCGTTAATTCTTCATTTTTTCTTCTTTTTTTTTTTTTTTTTCATTTTGTAATATGCCTTAAGAAACATTTAATCGAACAACATGAAACGCTCGCGCGATTATGCGAGTCCGTCAATATATATGTATATAAAATTCGAATACACTCGGCGGACCGCAAAAATGAACGAGGTGAACTTTCAACAGCATTACTAGACTTCAACGTGTCGCATAAACTATACAAAAATGAGCGCTCGAAGTTGGGAGAAACGAAATATTTTGGACGGTACGACGAAGAAGCATTTCAACAAAATCTTTTTTTTTTTCTTTTTTCTTTTTTCTTTTTTACCACGATTCCTTGCCACAAAATCATTGTTCCGCTCAAATTCAAATCGCTCTCAACTATTCGCTCGCTAAAAACTGATCCTTGCGAACTGACGTATCATCGTGTTACATTAGTTTGAAGGCATTGATTGAGAGGCTAAGATCTTCATTTTTTTCTTTTTTCAGTTCTTCTTCTTTTCTTTTTTTTTTTTTTCTTCTTTTTTGTTTCTTTTCAAATATATTTTTATTTGCCACAAGCAAGACCATGTGTTTTCTTCAACTTTGATCTCTGTATCGAGGCTGGCTGAACGCTTGTTCGTTTATTTAATGATTTATTCTAGCCCGTCGATAATATTAATAATAGAAAGACATGTGGCTCTATTTTTATTCGAAAGCTGTATTTAAAAGTGTTTTTCGTTCTTCTCCTTTACTATATGTGTAGCGTGTTATCATAGATTTAGCCTTCTATTTTTCATCTCTTCTTTTATTTTAGTTTGGACGAATAATTTATATAATTACAAGATACATTCTGAGTAACATTCTTCGTTTTTCTCAATTTCACATAAACCTGAAAAATTAATATTTTTTATTAAATGTGTGGAATCAGTTATTAAAAGACAAAGTAATTGACATATACATTGTACCAAACGAATTATCGAAGACTAACGATTATTACTTGAGCCGTTGTGTAACATTGGCCAAGGCAACGGCAAATGCCTGCAAAGCGCTAAAGGGATATTGGAAATCCAATGTGTAGGCGTTTCCATCTATCCTTCCGAATTGCATTACCTAGAAGAAAATTGAAACAATTACACGATATTCGATTAATAGTTTCTGAAAGAGATTATTTCTGCACACACCTGCCTTCCTTTAAATTCTATTTGGAAGTTTTTAGCGCTTTCCTGTGTCACTCTACCACCAAAATCAAGTTGATATACTTGACTGGATTCATTCCACATTGGTGCTTTATTATGCATCACAAGCTCTCGCCTCACTGCTTCTGATTTATGGCCACATATCCCTCCTCCTTTCTGCTTCAACTATACGTCGTAATTAAAATGATTTAGATTAAATTAGATTATTGTCTCTTTCACACATCTTTTACATAGAAAATAACGTGTTAATTATTACTTTTCTTTCTTCTAATCTAACCTTCTGTCGCAACTGTGCTTTTTGGAACGTTTCGAGATCTCTGTAATTGGTCGACGAGTCATCTTGCAAGAGTCCTTCCTCGTCTGAACTTTCGCCTCGACTTTTTCGCGGTTTTCTACTTAACAGAGGACTCGATAAAAGTCTTCTTCTAATCGGCGAGGCAGATGCTGGCCTTTTACCTTTTTTCGATGGTGCTGGACTACTGGGAGAACTTCTAGGTAATCTAAAAATGTTAACCATCAATGAACGATTGATTCGTCGAATAATTTATACGATTAATAATTATTACCTAGTGGATGGACGAGGCGATGGTGGCGGCAAAGAATGACTTTCGTCGAAATCTCGAAGCCGAGCTGCAAGACCGTCCAGAGACGATGCTAATGAACCACTCGGGCTAGATCCTCTGAAACGATAATATAAATTAGAGAGAGATAATAAAAATATAGGGTGAATTACACAAAGTTAAATACGAATAAGAATAACCTCTCAGAAAATTGACCTTATGGATCACAGATTGAGAATCACTGGTTTAAAACATACATAATCATCATTTATCAACTTACCTAACGGGCGAATTACAACTTTTCAATCGATTTGGCTTAATCTCGGCAGACATAACCACAACGGAACCTGTAATAAGCTTAGCAGATTCATCGAGAATCTCTGTCGCGTCTGGTGATTTTTCCAAAGACTCGTTACTTTTGTCTTCGACAGTCTCGAGATTCATTGCACCCGTTGCTTCTTCAGCGTGTTCAGGCAGCTTAGGTGGCAAGGCTATTTGCTCGTTAGCTGGAAATATGTCACTGGAATCGAGACTCTTAGATTTGCCACAGTTACGAAGCCTGGGCGACTTGGACGTTTGCTGTCCGATCTCTTGTTGGGTCTTGTTCTTTTTTCTCCTCTTCGTCTTCCTCGAAACCAGGACCAATCTTTTGTTAGGTGCCTCCTTTCTAAGCATCTTCAAAGCGATATCGCATGGAACCAATTGCGCATCCACCATGTCCAAATAACCGACACTGCAACTTCTAACTATAGAGTCGTTCACGCAAAGTGGGCCGATACTGACCACTGTTTGTGTTCTATGGACTCCTCGCGATTGGTCGAAAGATTCCGCCTCTCCGCGGGATTCCTCGTCGATGAAACGCATCTCGTCGACTCGACTAACAGTCGCGACGGAACTGCTCGATTGGCCGGTGTTGTTCGTTTTGCCGCACAGCTCGTGAGATTTCGGATCTTTGAGCTTCGTGCTACAATACGCACATGTTTGCCCGATACATTGATCGATGTTCTCTGGAAACTGATAAGAACAGGCCGGCGAATGATTGCTGGACAAGTGTATGCCATTTTTATTGAACGGACCGTTATTAGAAGACGGTTGGCCGATGCTCGAGTTGTTTACGTTGTGATTATTTTTACCCTGGATTCCGTTGCTCGAACAGGCAATACCGTGCAACCCGTTGAGAAATATCTGCGATTGAGGACTGCTGCAGGACAAACCGTTCACGATGGATCCCTGAGAACATCCATGACTGCTCGACGCTTCCGTGTTCGACGCTTGGCCATTGTGCATTGGAATGATGGTCGACGGGCAGGATGTCAGAACTGCTTTATTATCGTCCTGAGAAATCTGATTCAACTTGTTGTTCTCGTGCTCCTTCTTCGAGACCAGTCCCGGTTGATCGGCGAGCGCGGTTTTCATTCTCTGAATGTTATTCGAGTAATCCGTGCCCGTGTTCGAGGTCGCTATAATAGTTTGCGTGGGCGCGACCGCGTTTTTCGGGGACTGAAGTGCAGGCACGTCGCAACATCTCGGCGGATTGTGCCTGGGCGGTGTTCTGTAAGTGTTGCCGGTTCTCAAACCGTCCGCGGTTCTCAGATTCTCGAATTCTTGCAGGTCCACGTAGGTTAACTCGTTCTCGAAGTTCTCGACCCTGGACAGAGTGGCGGGCAAAGGTTCGGCGGGCATGAATTGATTGGAAATTTGAGATTTTGGACGATTGGAGTTGAGGCGCGCGTTACGGGGCGTCATGGGCGCTATGGGAGGTGGTTGAGCCTCGGACGTCGTCCTCGAGGCGGCTTGAAATTCCTGGAACGATTCCTCCTCGTCCTCGGAGAACAGATTGGGATTGAAGGTAGGATCCGGACCTGAGGAGCAAGCGAATCGATTGAGTTTCGAGGTCGACCAACTTCTCCACGCAACCGTTACAACTTGAGTCTAACTCGAGTATAAATGTAATTTGTCTTCGAAAGAGAGATTTTATTTTTCTCGACGACGTTGAACGATCCTTGGGAACGAAGTTAGCCGGAAAGTTCCCCTTTTGGGAAAGCAAGCTTCAAATTGCAACGGCTGCATTTCTTTTTTTTCTTTTTTTTTTTCCGTTCGTGATCGCGGAAATATACCTGCAGGCACGTCATCCCGTAATTCCGTCATCACCAGAGTCATTTGTCGCGGTTGCAAATGCAACAACGATGTTCGATAAGTAACCTGACCCAAGTTGGCGGGCACCGAATCAGCCAGCCCGTGAAACTTGAATTTCGTGCCCCAGATATTAGACGTTACTTCGACCAATCTCGCGTGCTGCAAACAGATACGTCTTGCGACACTGTTGGTCACGCGACTTGACTTTTGCAATACCTTAAGGCTCAAAGGGCTCGTTAAACTTTGCTACATCACGCAATTTCTTATTGGCCGGGTTTGTATCGTAGCCTCTTAAATCGTTATCCGTGACGTTTTCAGAAAGATTGCTCGTCGTAAAAAAACGAGGAGGGAAGGAATACGAAACAAGGTAACGTCAATCTTAATTTTAGAAATAAGAAGAGAAAGAAGAAGAAGAAGAAAAATGTCTTTTATTTTTTTTTTAGCATTCGAGAGAATTAATATGCGAAACAGGTGTTGCTCTTTATTGATTAATTATAAGGATGTTCAAATGTATTTACCTCAGGTAAGGTGTCCACGTAAGTGAGATCGTCGGAATCGTCGTTCGTTTTTTCTTCCCTTTTTCTTCTGTTTTTCCTTTTGTTTCTAGGCGATCCGCACAGGTCGGCCGTGTCCCTTTCCGTATCGGATCCATCGCTGAACGAGGGACACTGCGACGTATCTTCCACCACTTGAAGGGTGTCCTGACTTTGTGGGTCGAATATCACAAATTCTGGCCTGATTTTGCTCGTTCTTCTGCCTTTCAGCAGAGGCACCAGGCCACCTAGATATTCCAGATACAACGTATAACATGGTACCGGTTCCACGGCGTGTCTGAGCATGGTGCAGTGCAATCTTCCACCCCCTGGAGGTGGACGAGACACGAAACGTCTCAGTTCCCTTGGTTCTGGCACGGAACATCTACAAAGCAAGCAAGAACTGAATTTTAAAAAAATTAACGCTCTTTATTGATTGTAATTAGATTATAAAATATTTTACACATAAAATATTTACATAAAATATTTTAATTCTGCTCGAACAATGTTTTATGTTTGTAAAGTAGATCGACAAATGATGAGCCAAAGAAGAAAAGTATCAAAAGGTTTCTGTAATTAGATTATAAAATATTTTACAATTCTGCTCGAACAATGTTTCATGTTTGTAAAGTAGATTGACAAATGATGAGCCAAAGAAGAAAGGTATCAAAAGGTTTCTGTAATTAGATTATAAAATATTTTACAATTCTGCTCGAACAATGTTTTATATTTGTAAAGTGGATCGACAAATGATGAGCCAAAGAAGAAAAGTATCAAAAGGTTTCTCCAAGATATTGAATTGTGATACGTGACTCCAACCATTGAATTCATCATGTTACAAAATTTTTTGTGAAAAAGTGTCCGAAACACTATCCAATATCCACTTCTGTATGCATATCGATATATAATCGTGGATTAAGTGATTTTGCTACCTTATTGTACTGGCGAAGAGGGCTGCCACCGACGCTCTTAATCTCGGCGGCAATGGAAGTTGCTGAACGCTCGATTCCCTCGTCAAAGATGCTCTCACAGCTAAACGAGACAACAATTGCAGCGAACCTACTCGTCTGCAGAACGTATATATCGTATATACATCAAACACTTTAGTACGAGTTAACTTCTAGTTTAGAATTAAAAAAAAGATGATGAAACGAACAGTTTCATCTATTACCTTGACACCCATGCGGCGTGAACGCGTGCACCGGTCGCCACGAAAAGTCGTCTGTCGTTGTGACCCCACGTGAGCGCCGATACTGGACACTGACAACGATAAACGTCAATCGAGGAAATTTCTTTACGTTTCTTTCTTTTTTTTAATGAAATTTTAATGAAATTAAATATAATCTCTCGATTATATCAACAAACGAGTGATCTAACTCGGCGAAAAGTCAGCCGTGAGGGGAAATTTTTACGAGAGAAAAAGTAATTTCGATAACCGAAGGCTGGTGGTCTAGAAAGAGAGGTTATGTTCCACTTACTTGCGTGTACGGTATCGCAGCGGTGTAGACAAGCGTGCCGGTGACCGAATAAAATTTTAAAACATTCGCGTACTCGTGAGGGCTGCCTTGACCGTTATCCGAATCCTTCGTCCCTGCTATGGCCAACAATTTTCTCGAATTGCTCCATTCCGCGTGCAGGGGAGCCTTCAGATTTGTACGTATCGTGATTGGCGAGACGTCGTCGAATGAACGCAGCATAACTATATTCCCATCGGCCAGACAAACGGCTAGCACGTAATTTCGATCGTCTGGGAACACGTGATTCCTTCGTTGTTTCATCGATATTTAAGGAGATAAAAGGAGGATAATTTTTTTCTTTTTTTTTAAAAAGGACAATAAGAAAAAAGATTAGAATCCTCGCTTCTAACCCTCGAGTAACATTTATTAAAAAATTCAATTGTAAATTCAATGTATTTCATGTAGATTTTAGGCTGAAAAGAGGAAATACGAGATTGTGGGTAGAATTTCCAAATCAAGCTCGTGAGCAACCGTCTCTGCGACGAACAATTTGAATGAATAATACAGAAGGTTTGCGCGGAACGAATTGCAAAATTCAGAGATTTAGCAGGGGAAAATTGTTATCGCTTCTATTTCTCCAAAATCTTAAAAAAAAAGTTTGCTTCCTCGTAATTCTTTATTTCCTTCCAAACAAAAGTACTTTTCACCGAAAATTCATGAGACTTCGAACGAACGTGTGATTTCCATCCAGAAATAATAAATCCAAGTTTTATATATGTGATTAAATACGTACACAAATATTTAAATAATATATTGTTATTATGGCTCGTTTCAATGCAACATTTCGCACATGGGAGGCTAATAAAATGGTATAATAAATATTTTTTACAGAAAATTTTTTACAAAAATACCTTTATGAGACCTATCGTTCGTTAAATCGTCGTCCCCTTCTTCCATGGTGAACTTTTCAGCGCTCCATGCCATCGAAGTGACACCGGCCGCCAATTGAACCTCGGATACCATCGCCCCGTGAACATCCATTACTATTAATTGTCCAGCCGTTGTTCCAAAATAAACCTGTTGATACGAATTTTTAAATTAAAAAAAAAAAAAAAGAATAAATCCAATCTAATGTGTATTACGATTCTTTGCGATTTTTTAATGTTTTTCACGATGAACGCCTCTCAATCCTTAATTTTTAATTTTTTCGCGATTAAACAGTTTTTACTCGTTAAATTCCGGGAACCATGATAGAATGTAACGTTACCCCATAATTACTCCGAGAATTCTGAACAGACACCGGTCTTATCGTGTTTCACGTATACGATATATTTAAATATATGGCAAATGAAGTTACGCGAGCAATTTATTTCTCGTGTAATTTATTATTCGTTTATTATTGAAATGTTGAAAATGTGCGTATACATCATTTAAATGTTTTACATAAATTGATACAAATTGAATAGTTATTGGTCACGGTGGATGGACGAGATATTTCTCCTAGATTATTCTATAACACGTTGCTTTTAAATATAAGCTTTGTATAAGTTTAGATCTTGTTTCGTAGATAGTTGTTACGCTACGTGAGAGTAAACATGATATTTCATTAAGAAAGGGGTAAAAAGGGGCGATATAATAACACGTCGATAACATCTAAAGTTTTTAACACTATTTTGTTCGATATAATTTACGTAATGAACGTGATGTAATTTTGTAATTATATGCTTGGTTTACCTGCTGATCGTCTGGCGTCCAAATACCACAAGTAATGGTAGCTTTGTCGTTCAGCATCGATGACCAATACCTTTGGCCAGCGACGCTGCCAACCAATACGAAACCATCCTATAAAAAGAAAATTTTATTGATTTCTTTTCTTTAAATTTTACAATACGTAGCACGTAGAATAGTAATGTAACGTCTTTCTTATTCTGCGACAAATACTTCTTTGCCAAGTTTTAAATGTAGCGTGTACACAGTGTAGCATGCATACACGGTGTCCATTTCAAAAATCGCGTTTTTCTCTTTTTTAGTTATTCATGATTAAAAAACTAATGATCTAAAAAAAAATCTCTAACCCTTTAAAACTCATCTCGATTTATTTCGATGCGACTTTTCATATATTTCTAAAATATCATATCGTCGTTCAAAGAAAAGATAATTTCAATTATGTATCTCTCAATTTTATTAAAATTTTATTTTAATAATTATTTCTTTATTTTATTTAAATTATTTTTTTATTTTATTAAAATTAGGGAAAACTTCGAACCGCTATAACTCCGAGAATAATTACTTTCAATCGTCGAATGAGCGAGCGATTGGAAACGCGGTACTTTCCTCTTTAAAACGCTTTTTCGTTCATCCCGATACGAGTTTCGGTTGTCGAGATATCGTCGTGCAAAGGAAAAGGATAATTTTTGATCGTTCGTCTATCTTCGTTCGTGTTTATCTCGCTCGCACCTTGTCTCTCGCCGATCTATCCCTATAAATTGTGAGCGACAGATGCGGATTCCTGGAAAAACGTACGCTATTCCTAGAAAACGTACGCGTTTCCAGGAAAAAATATATATAGATCACTAGGTCCATTCATAATCTCTGTATAGACACATCGAGTTCTCACGTATTAATTGATCGAGATATCGTAAATGAATCAAAAAGTGACTTCATTGACATTGCTTCCCTTTATCTCCTGATTCAATGTATTTTCATTATTTTACACGAAAAATTACGGTTTCGCATTCGTGATTGCAAATTTTATTGTATTGTAAATTCTTTTTCTCTTAAAAAAAAAATAAAAAAATAAAATAATCTAGAATTGGAATATTTATAACACATTGCAATACAAAGATTTTTAATTGGAATAGAAAGAGTATAATCTACATACGATTTATACAAAGTTTACGCGTATACATCGCTTTTCACAGAACGAATAACCATTCTAGTCGACGCAAGTAATGTATATGTATATATTCTCGTCCGACTGTTCGAAATTCAATATTATTTTTCTCGACGCTTTTAAAGCTACTTTATCGACCTTATGCCCGTAATAATACGAGATTTCTACGCATCGTCAACTTTTTAATAAAAATCTCATCTCCTGCTGATAATTCGCTCAACCCATTGAATCGCGTGGATCATAAAGTCACGGAAGGGTTGGATTTTCAATTGTCGATTCAAACGTACTGAATACACGTATATATATATATATATACACACACACACACGTATATCTATAATATGTATCTATAGCAATGAATTGGAATTGGTATTCAACTATCGCGCGAATCTATTCTTTTCATTTCTCAATAAAATTTTCCATCCACGTTTATTATCTTACAAAAGGATCATTGTAATTAAAACTCTCTGGATTCTCTTTAAAAAAAAAAAAGAAAAAAAAGAAAAATAGGAATCAAACATTTATGAAATAAAAATTACCCTGTAACATATGAGAGCCATTCGACCATCGTGGGACCACGAGAAATGCGTGACCGGCGTACTTCTGTCGTTGATCAGTTCTATGCTCCATCTTCCCTCGTACTTGATCCACACGAAGATCACCCCTGAACTGTCGCACGATGCCAACTTCTGGTACGGCTCGTTCCACTTCACCAATATCACCTGCGACAACGATTAACACACAAATTTCGCAGAATAAAATTTTCTTTTTCAATCGAAAAAAAAGAGGATCGGATTATTCGTTTTTAAAGTGTTTCGCTTTCTTCTTTACCGATCGAGTTACGGGGTCGAAA